GTGTTCCGGGTGAGCACGCCCTGCTGTCCCTGCGTGTCCCGTGTTCCGGGTGAGCACACGTTGCCCTCTCCCTGCGTGTCCCGTGTTCCGGGTGAGCACGCCCTGCTGTCCCTGCGTGTCCCGTGTTCTGGGTGAGCACGCCCTGCTGTCCCTGCGTGTCCCATGTTCCACCAGGAGCACACGCTGGCTTGTGATGTTGTCGAGCACCTTGGTTCTGTCCTTGCTGGCAGTGACAGTTGTGACGCAGAGGCGTTGCTGGTATTGGAGTCTTGTGGTTCTGAGCTGTGATGGCGGTGGGGAGTTACAGTGCCGCTTGGACTACTGACTGTGTTACCGCTGTTGCCGCTGGTGGCCAGGGGAGTGGAGGCTGACATGGAGGCTGTGCTCACAGTTACATTGTCCCCAGCAGCTTCAGTTTCAAGGGGATTTGCAGCCCACCCTAGAATACCCCTTGTGGAAAGCAGACGACTCCCCAGGCCCCAAGTGTGGCAGACCACAGCAGGCAGGAGCTGGCCAAGATGACTGCAGGAGCAGAGAGAAGAGCTCCTGGGTCGGGGGTGCTCAGGCGAGGCTTGGAGGAGGTTGGGCTGCCGTGCGGGTGGGAGAGTCAGGGTCCGCAGGAGGAGCCGGGAAGTGCCTGGATCACAAGCTCCCATTTCCAGCTCAGAGCCAGGCCTGTGGCTAGAAGCCCTGGTTTTGTGCAGCTGGCGCCAGGCAGAGGGGAGGAGATTGGCATCTTGCTTCATGGGGAAATGAGAGTCCCCGGGGCCTTGGTCACACACCCGTGCTGCTGTGTGTGGCTCAGACGCAGTTCCTGGAGCCAGCTCCACAGGCACGGACACCAGGCCCAGGGAGCCGCAGGTCTGACCTAGAAGCTGCAACTCAGGGGTCCCAGGTAAGCCAGGTGTCTGGGCCCAACTCTGGATGGGCCTCAGGGACTGGGGTGCCCTTAAGGCCCCATGCCATGAGCCAGGTGAGCTGGAGTTGGGCAGGGCCAGCCTTGGGGATGCTGCCCCCAACTGTCTGCCCGACAAGAGCTGGGCACGTCCAGGAAGGTCAGGGGTACGAACACTTGGGGCCAGGAGTCCTGAAGGATGAGGTCAGGAGGGCACAGGGCCAGAGGGACGCCCCAAGAGCCAGGCCTATGTATGTGATGGGCTGAGGGACTGAGGGGGGCAGGACACGGGCAGGAGAGGGGTTGGATGCAACATTCAGGGACCATGGTACAAGCCGGAAGCTGAGCTACCTGGGCAGGTGTTCAGGGAGCGACCCGGTCTCGCTGGGCAGCCCCGAGGGACGGGGAGCTGTGGCATGCACCGGCTCAGGGCCGGTGGTGGGTGCCGGCAGAGGCTCAGAGGCCAGGCTAAGTGGCATGTGGCAGGGGGAGGCTCTGCGTCCCCGGCAGTGCCCAAGCTCTCCTGCTGAGGCACAGCGCCTCGTGTGGGAGGACACCCAGTGAGTCATTCACACTGGAGTGTGAATTAGCCCATCAACTCCCAGGAGACCCCCCCAGCTGCAGTCCGGTAATAGCAGCTGCCTGGTGAGCTGGCCGAGGCATCGGTGCAGCAGCCCTGGCTGCATGGGCGGGCGGGCACCTGTTGTGGCCCCTGCTTCATTGTCCCCAGATGTCCCGTGAGCACACAGGCCTCTGTCGTCCCCCTAAACAGGGATGGGATAAGCATTTGTCCACCACACGGGCCAAGATCTGGGGTGTCCAGGAGGGTGGGTGCGTTAGCAGGGGGCTGGAGGCTCGAGGCTACTTACGATGACGGGTTATTCACATCTGTGACAAAGTGGAAACAGAGATCTTCTGCCGGTCCACTCCCGGAATGCCCCTGCCCCAGTGGATGGGTCGGGCCACACAGCAGTCGCACACACACAGGGACAAGTGTCCTAACCCCGTAAGCTGCCACTGCTGCCTTGCAGCCTTGAATCCCGGCTCCCTGATAGAGGACGTTGGCCACATGCCTGCCCTCAGGGAAGCCTGACCCGAGTCCAGGGTGGACGTGTCAGTCACCTGACCTTAGGCTGCGGGCGGGGGCTGGGAGCCAGGAGCCAGTGGCCGTGGCAGCCCAGCGGGGATGGTGGTTGGTCTGGCAGGGTGGCCATGGTGGGTGAGAAGCAGCCCCAGTTCTGGTGGCCAGCTGTTGTAAGGAGGCGGAGGTTGGGGAGCATACTGCAGGAGGAGCCTGCGCCCCTTGTTCCACAGTGCACCGTGCCAGGGTGTTGTCTGGCCACGTTGCCATGGCTGCTGCCATGCCAGGCTGTGCACGTGTGTGTATGTGCGTGCAAGTGCTAGGTCCAGCAGCTGGGCACTTCGGAGGCGTGGGCAGCAGGCAGGAAGTGGCCTTTGCCTGGGATGGCCTGAGCCAGGTGAGCTAGATCCTGTGGCAGGGAGCACCAGTGACCTGAAGGGTAGAGGCAGTGGCTTGATGTGTCCCAGGCTGCCCTCCCCGCAGGCAGCGAGGGCCCAGGTATTGACTGTGTCTTGAAGCTGAGACAGCATGCAGCCCACAGCCCTCTCACACCTGTGGACGTGCGGATGCATGGCCCATGTCGGCCACTGCGCAGGAAAACTTTCAGATTTGGGAAAGGACTTGCAAATGCTGCGTATTGGGGTGCAGGCTTTGTTGGAAGGAGAAAAGGGGGTCCTGGCCTTCTGGGGGCACAAGGCCTCCAGCTGGCCCTGTCTGACGCTGCTGTGCTGCTGTGCACAGGTGGCAGCCGCGGGGTCAGCTGCGCTCTGCAGGCTGTGTCGCAGGCCCTGGGGGCAGGGCACCAGCCACGGGAAGGGAAAGTAGGCCCTGCTGCCTGGCTGCCTGCTGCGTGGCCTCGGGCGGCTGCCTGGTCCAGTCCACGTGGCCGGCCTGAGCAGAGCAGAATGGCCAGGAAGGAAGCGGCTGCTGTGGGGCGCGGGGGGGGGGGGGGCTGACCCACTGCTGGCCTGCTGAAGGCACTCCAGAGCGGGGTAGGGGGAAGGGGGGCGTAGCAGGCTCTGCTGCTTCACCCCTGCCCCGGGCCTGGCTGGCTCTCTGGAGGAGGGCAGCTGCTGCTGTGTTGCCCCAGCTGCAGGAGCAGCCCTGGCCCCTCCTCTCTGCAGGCAGCCCCTGCCCTTCCCCAAGGGCTCCGAGCACGCACCTGCCAGGCTGGTTCCATGGCCCAGGCCTCAGGGGCTGTCCACTCTGAGCCCACCGAGCACCCCTCAGGCAGGTGGCTTGGCACGGTTTCAGGTGTGAGGAGTAGGGCTGGGCTGGGCACCTGACCCCAGCTGGCAGGAGCCACACACAGGCTGGCGTTCGGCAGGGGACCTGCAGGTGCTGTGAGGGCTACTGGCTGGGTGGTGTCAGGCAGGATTGAGGGGCTTCTGCCCTAGGAAGTGTATGCGGGGAGTAGGGGGCAGGGGTGCAGGCAGAGGGGCAAGCCGTTGGGATCCATGCCAGTGTCCTCCACAGCCCCTCCACCTGCCCTGATTTCAAAGACACAGGCTGGGGACTGGAGGCTGGACCTTGGTCTGCCCTGCACTGGGGATGCAGGCAGCTAGGGGTGGGGGCGGTATTCAGGTGGCCCTGGGGACCCCCCATTGTGCCAATACTGGCTCCTGGAGCACGTGGCCCAAGGTTCGGAGCTCTGCACCACACACCCCTGTACTCACTGCTCGCCCTTGTGCTCAGGTTCTTTGGAAGGGCCCTAGGATTGCGGGGTAGGGCAGGACCGCAGCGCCCCAGCGCCCCAGCTGCCTCCTGCCTCAGCCCTTGAGCGGGAGCCTCAGTAGGAGGGAGTCCTTGTCCCAGGGGAGGGGGAAAGCTGGCGCTCAGGAATTCTCAGGGTTCCTTCCCCTGACCCCCCATGCCCTGGGACCTGCATCTCAGCAGGGAAGCTGTGGCTAGCACAGCCAGGCCCAGGGCCAGGCCTTGCATCAGCAGGGAGCCCCCCAACCCCTCCTCTCCACTGTCCCCATTCCAGAGACTGAAAGAAGGCATGGAGGTGGGTAGCCCTGCAGCTCCTAAAACCTAGACGTCTGATCAGAGGCTGTGGGGGTGCTGCCTCCCACAGTCCTGGGGGAGGAGGGCAGGGACTGTGCAAAGCACCTATGCGTGTGTCGTGGTGGGTGGCCTGTCCGCCAGGTTGGCTGCCTGGGTCGCGGCTTGTGTTCCCAGCGAAGGAAGGGGCATGCGTGTGGGTACTGCAGACCTCCCGGCCGGCAGGCAGGCCTGCCCCAGGGCCGGCCGCAGGGGCACACTTGGAAGTTTCTGGACAAGGGGTGGGGGGGGGGCGGTGGTCAAGGTGCGCTCCCCTTGGGCCTGCAGGAGGGGCCGCGGTTCGGCAGAGCAGAGGGAAGTTTTGCAGCCACCCGCAGCCTCCTCCACTCGGGGGAGGTCTCGGCTGTCCCCTTGTGTGCTGGGAGCGGTGAGCCTGGGGGGAGGTGAGTGTGCGGAACCGAGTCCAAGGTCACCAGTTCCAGCCAGTGCCCAGAGCTGTGGAGCGGCGGGCTCTCCAGCCCGCCCCGCGCCCCCAGACCGGGGCGCACACGCAGGGTCCCTGGCCTTCCTGGTCCACGTGCGCCCACACGTCCACCCCCGCCCCGGGCACTGCCCTCCTCCTCTCTCCGGGACGACCCCTCAGCTCCCTGCGAGGGTGGGGCGAGGGCGCGGGACCGCGGGGAGCGGGGCGGCGGCCGTGGACGGGAGCCGGGCACGGGGCCAGCGCCCCCCGCCCCTCCCCCGCTCCCCGCCCCGCGCTCCCGCGGGCGGCTCTCGGCGGCTCCGGCGCGCGGCGGGGCGGGCACAGAGCGCGGCCATGGGCGCCCGGGCGGCCGGGCCTGGCGGCACCACCGGCGGCGGCGGCGGGCAGGCGGGCGCGCGGCTGCGGGCTCAGGTGCAGGTGCGGGGATGCGGTCGGGGCGCGGCGGGGGCCCGGGCGGGCGCCGCTCGGGGGACCCGGGCCGCCCGCGCCCCCGCTGACGCTGCCGCCTGTCTCCCCCGTGTCCTGCCCGCCCCCAGACCCTCCTCCTCCGCCCCCCCGCAGCTCGGGCTCTGGTCGTGGCGCGGCTGCCGCACGGTGCCTCTCGACGCCCTCCGGACGCGCTGCCTGTGTGACCGGCTCTCCACCTTCGCCATCTTAGCCCAGCTCAGCGCTGACGCGGTGAGACCCCGGCGGGACGCGCGGGGGAGGGGTGCGCCGAGCGTTCCTGGGCAGGAGGGCCACGCGCCACGGGCCCCGGGGGCAGTGGCCCTGGATCGGTGGGGCTGGGGTGGCCGAGGGAGGGATGGCCTTTGCACCCGCAGCCTCCCTTGGCCTGGACAGCGCCTGGGGCCTCTGGCGAAGGTGGGTGGCCGCGTGGAGTTAGGGACCCAGAGGAAGTGAGTGATGGATTGGGGTTGTGTTTCAGAGAGCTCGGGTCTCCAGGGGAACGAGGCTGGCCCGTGGGACCCTTCAGGGCCTGGCACCCTCCTGCGACCCTTCTCTCGGTCACCTCGGCTGAGGGAGGAGGAGGTCCCAGTCCCAGGGGTCCTGTCCAGGGGACAGGAGACAGCAGCAGTGGCCCCAGGCAGCGCGCTGGGGGTGGCAGAGGCTGCTGGGCCTGGCCCAAGTTCCCAGGCAGGCCCCCTCAACTCCAGAGCTTCCTTTTTGTTTCTGGGATTCTTGTGGGGGCTGTGAGTTTCTATGGCAACAGCCTCAGGGGGGCCAGCCTCGCTGCCGGGGCCCTGGGTGCTGGGCTCCCTCCCCGCCCACGCTGGCTGTGCTGCACCCACTGGCCCCAGGAAAGCTGGAGCATCCTCCACACTGGGTCCACCCATGGCGTGGGGCAGGGGTCCAGCCCAGCCCAGCAGTGGCCAGTTGAAGGCCTGACCGGGGAGGAGACTCGGTCCCCTGGGCATGCGGGGCAGCCAGGCTTGTCTCTCGAAGCACGGGTTCCCTGTGGAAGATGATGCCAGTACTCTGAGAACATTCCAGAACAGGACCCCTTTATCCCATGGAGCATGGGGAGGGCTGCCTTGCCGTCGGCCAGGGTCTCTGCAGTGTCAGGTCACCGACTGGGGGGGAAGCTGGCTGTGGATAGGGGTCCGAGACGGTGCATCTGGGCTGGACAGGGGTCAGGGTGCCCTCCCGTCAGACACCCCTCGGGCTGTGTGCTGGCCCTGAGGGCTCCCTAAAGGAGGAGGCAGTGTTCCTAACATCCAGCAGCCAGCTCCGTGGGCACAGCCTCCCACTGGGGTGTGGAGGGGACCATAGGGGTGCTATCATACTGCCCCTAGCCCAGGGGATCGTGAGAGACCCAGGCAAGAGTCTGGCCCGGGCTGCCTTCCCCGTCAGCTGGGCCTGTGGGCAGCTGTGGCATGGCTCCCTCCGGGGTGCATGGCTCTGCTGGTGGACCTCCCACAGGGAGCCACTGCCATGCTGGCTGTGGCCCGTGAGCGCCTGGGGCTTGAATGCCCTCAAGGGCCTGGGCTCTGGTTGTCTCCATGATGTGTGCGGTGAGGTGGCCTGAAGTGTGCTCCAGGCCGGGCTGGGGCAGAGGTGCCAGGACAGGTTGGCGGTGGGGCCCTAGGAGCATGCCAAGGGGGATAGAGGCACATCGGGTCCAGGCGCTGGCCCGTGGGCCTGGGCAGGGCCAATGTAGCCTAGCTGGGGCTAGCCAAACCAGCTGGGTGGAGAAGGGAGCAGGAGCTGGGGTAATGGGCTGAGCCTGGCAGGCTCTTGGGGGCCGTGGGAGCAGGGAGTGGGTGGTCAGGGGCTCCAGCAGAGTAGGGCCCGGGCCAGGTGCGGCCTGCGGGTGGCTGTGGCTGGGAAAGTTGAGTAATCCGGTGAGTCACACCTGCGGGGGCGCCCCGTCGCCTGCCTTGGGCCGTGGGTGGTTGCACGAGGCCCTGTGCTTCAGGCACTGGCCACAGCCTGGAGCAGAGTGAGTGGTTGTGCAGGTCCCCAAGTGCTGCAGGACCAGGGGTCAGCAGTCAGTGCGGGACCTAGAGACCAATCCTCGGCGTGTGGCGTGGGCCCAGCTTGAGCCTGTGACTGGTTCAGGGTCCAAAACTTAGTACTGTACAGCCGGAGCCTTGGTGGGGAGCGAGGTGTGTGAGACGGGGCTGGCGGGAGTGGGCGATACACGAGGGAGGCCATGCATGGGTCTGGGGCCCTGGTTAGGGAAGGAGCAGGGGGCAAGGATGGTTTCAGGTTTGGGTGTGTAGGGAGGAGCTTTGGGGGGCATCCTGGGCCCTGGGGCTGAGCTCCACCCTCTGTCCTGCCTCCCGGCCACACCCAGCAAAACCTGCTGGCTGGGGCTGTCAACTGGGTGACTGATGAGCCGGGCGGGGGAGGAGCACCAGGCAGGCCGGCAGGTGGGTGAGTGGCTGCCTCCAGCTCCGCCAGGCCTAATGAGAGCAGACGGAGGCAGATGGCCACAGAGGTCGGGCAAGGCTTGCCCTGGGACAGACGCAAGCCACTCGACTGGGCCATCCATGACCTGTGAGGATGTCCCTTCTGCCCTGTCCCCAGCCCCAGCCCTACCCTCTGTGCAGAGGCAGGAGGCTCCAGTGTTCCCTATGGGGCTGGCCATACCCTTCATCCTTCATCTTTTATGGAGTGGAGTAAGACCCCTGGCTCATGCTCCGAGTCTCCCATGGGGCTCAGCGGCATGGGGCTACCCCAGGGGTCTGCCTGGAGGCTGTGACTTGTAAGCTGAGCCTGGTGAGGTCGGAGCCAAACTGCCTGGTGTCAGAGAAGGCACAGCCTCAGCCTGGGTGCCCAGTCTGGTATGTCTGGGCCAGTGTGCACCTCAGGAAGCCCTAGGTCTGTGAGCCTGTGACGTGTGTGGTCTGTGGCTCGGGTCTTATCGGACGTGGAGGAGACAGGGTGGGAGGCTGGAAATGCTGGACAGCCTGCGAGGTCCTCCATGGCTCCTTGGGTGCTGCAGGGTCCTCACTGGCCAGGCAGCCGGTGGGGGTGGGGAAGGGGCAGTTGGATCACCCAGAGTCTCCAGGATGCTCCTGGCATCTCAGATAGAGTATGGTGGGACCAGCCTGGGTCTTCTGGGATGGAACGGGATGGGAGGCAAGCTGAGCTGGGGACAGTAACCAGGGACCCCACCCCTGGTGGACAGGGGCACATCTGAGAGGGTCGGACGTGTCCTTAGGAGCAGGGGGTGAGAGGCAGGTTCAGTGGGCACTGGCACAAAGCCCAGGGCAGGGCAGGGAGTTGTCTCAATGGTCTTCTAACCCTCAGGTGCCAGTGGCAGGCCCCCACAGAGGTGCTGGAAAGGGGGATCCCAGTGGTCTGGGATGTTGAGAGCCTCCCCTCTGTGGGGGTCACTGACACCTGTGCTTGGCAGGAGCCAGGCCCAGGGCACTGTGCTGACCGCACCTCTCTCCCGCACCCAGAACATGGAGAAGGCGGCAGGGCCTTCTGTGACACTTGTCGTGGGCTGTGGCGTTTCCTCTCTCACCTTGCTCCTCTTGGTCATCATCTACGTGTCTGTGTGGAGGTGGGTACCTGCACTGCTGGCCCACGGGCCGCCCCACGGGCTGTGTGGAGGTGGGTACCTGCACTGCTGGCCCACGGGCCGCCCCACGGGCTGTGTGGAGGTGGGTGCCTGCACTGCTACCCCAGGCCACCCCACGGGCTGTGTGGAGGTGGGTGTCTGCACTGCCACCCCGGGCCGCCCCACGGGCTGTGTGCAGGTGGGTGCCTGCACTGCTGGCCCGGGCCGCCCCACGGGCTGTGTGCAGGTGGGTGCCTGCACTGCTGGCCCACGGGCTGCCCCACGGGCTGCCCCACGGGCTGTGTGCAGGTGGGTGCCTGCGCTGCCACCCTGTGCCACCCCATGGGCTGTGTGCAGGTGGGTGCCTGCACTGCCACCCCGGGCCACCCCACGGGCTGTGTGGAGGTGGGTGCCCGCGCTGCCACCCTGGACTACCCCACATGGCTCAGAGTCTGTGCACGGCAGCCAGCCTGTTCTGCAAAGCACCCCACTTCCTTCTGCCTCCACCCCACTCACGTAGCCAGCACCTGCCACAGGCCCCTAAGCCTCCCTCGTGTGTCTGCGCATAGGCTGGGGCACAGCTCCCTCTCCCCGCCCACCCTCTGCTCACGTGGCACCAGTGCAGGTGCCCTCAGCCTAGGCAGAGGGATTCCTAGCCGGGTGTGAGGGATGCCTAGCCAGGGTGCTAGGAACCCTGTGCCCACCTGCCTGCCTACCCCCTGATTCCAGCCCCATTGGAGAGGAGCCAGGATCAGGGTGGGTGGGCCCAAGGTCACTGCCCAGGAGCTAAGCTGGGACTCCCAGCATGTTCTGAGAACGTGTGGCTGCCGCGCCTGGCTGCTTGGGTGCCCACAGACAGCCCTGTGGCAGCTGACAGTCAGAACTGACGGCCCAGCCACTGCCTGGCACGGCAGCCGGAGGTTGATGGGAGAAAGGGAGGGAGAGTGGGCACAGCAGGCACCCTCCACTCTCCTGCCCAAGGACACAGCATGCCTGGTGCTGTCCACGTAGGGATCCAAGGGGCCCTGGCGTTATCCCCACCCCCACCCCCAGAGCCAATACCCTGTGGAGGACCTGAGTCCTCACATATCTGGGGCCTGTAATGTGGAGACTCTGAATCCCAGCTCAGCTGCATTAGCTCAGCCTGGTTAGCTCAGCCCTGTGTTGTTTTCTGTCCCAAGGGACAGTGACAGTGGTGATGACGATGGTGGTGATGATGGTCATGAAGGTGATGGTGATGATGGTGGTGATGATGATGGTGATGGTGATATGGTGACGGTGGTGATGGTGGTGATGATGGTGATGAAGGTGATGGTAATGATGATGGTGATGGTGATAGTGGTGATGGTGGTGATGGTGGATGATGGTGATGATGGTGATGGTGGATGATGGTGATGGTGATGGTGATGGTGGATGATGGTGATGATGATGGCGATGGTGGATGATGGTGATGGTGGATGATGGTGATGGTGATGATGGTGATGATGATGGTGATGGTGGATGATGGTGATGATGGTATGGTGATGGCGATGGTGGATGATGGTGATGGTGGATGATGGTGATGATGATGGTGGTGATGGTGATGGTGGTGATGATGATGGTGATGATGGTGATGATGGTGATGATGGTGATGATGATGGTGATGGTGGATGATGGTGATGATGGTGATGATGGTGGTGATGATGATGGTGGTGATGGCGATGGTGGATGATGGTGATGGTGGATGATGGTGATGATGGTGATGATGATGGTGATGAAGGTGATGGTGATGATGGTGATGGTGGATGATGGTGATGGTGATGATGGTGATGATGGTGATGGTGGATGATGGTGATGGTGATGATGGTGGATGATGGTGATGATGATGGTGATGATGGTGATGGTGGTGATGGTGATGGTGGATGATGGTGATGATGGTGATGATGGTGGTGATGATAATGGTGGTGATGGCGATGGTGATGATGATGATGATGGCGATGGTGGATGATGGTGATGGTGGATGATGGTGATGATGGTGATGGATGATGGTGATGGTGATGATGGTGATGGTGATGATGATGGTGATGGTGGATGATGGTGATGATGGTGATGATGATGGTGATGGTGGTGATGGTGATGAAGGTGATGGTGATAATGGTGATGGTGGTGATGATGGTGGTGGTGGTGATACGGTGATGGTGATGATGGTGATGAAGGTGATGGTGATGATGGTGATGGTGATGATGGTGATGATGGTGGTGATGGTGATGATGATGGTGATGGTGATGATGGTGATGGTGATGATGGTGATGATGGTGATGAAGGTGATGGTGATGATGTTGGTGATGGTGGTGATGGTGATGGTGATGATGGTGATGAAGGTGATAGTGATAGTGATGGCTGTGCTGGTCATGCAGTGGCTGCTGGGAAGTGTGGGACCTGTCCTGGTGTCGGATGACTTGGGTCTCTGTGGAGGTGAGGCTCTGCTGGCGCTGACCCAGGCTTGCCTGTCCCACAGGTACATTCGCTCGGAGCGGTCCGTCATCCTCATCAACTTCTGCCTGTCCATCATCTCTTCCAACGCCCTCATCCTCATCGGGCAGACCCAGACCCGCAACAAGGTAAGCACTGCTCCCCACTGGGTGCGGGAGGGTGCAGGCGCTCGGAGGCTGCCCTGGGTGGCTCAAGCCCCTTGTCTGGCCCACCCTAGGGGCAAGGAGGCAGCCAGGGCTGCCACTGGGTGGGAATTCAACCATTGGGCCTGCACACAGCAGGTACCTGTGGCCAGCTCTTCCTGTGGTGGCTAACCTTGACCCTGGGTGGCAGTGGAGCTCATTGGTCAGTCCACATTCTCTCCCACGGACACTGCAGTCCTAGTCCTGGAAGGCAGGCAGAAAGGATGGCAGCAAGACACACAGGGCCTGGCCATGTATGGGGACAGGAGTTCATGGCTGTCCTGAGACCTGCTGTGTGTCCCTGGGGTGCCCCTGTCGGCCTTGGGATCATTCCTCCTATGGGATGGCCTGGGGTTCTGGAGTGGACACTGGGATGTGTCTATGGCAGGTGGCCGAGGATAGATCCTGGCAGCCTGTGGGCAGGAAGATTGGGGGGATGGAGTGGGGTGGGCATGCGCCCCCAGCCCACACTGCCACCGTCCGCTGCCCACCCAGGTGATGTGCACGCTGGTGGCGGCCTTCCTGCACTTCTTCTTCTTGTCGTCCTTCTGCTGGGTGCTCACCGAGGCCTGGCAGTCCTACATGGCCGTCACTGGCCGTCTCCGGAACCGGCTCATTCGCAAGCGCTTCCTCTGCCTTGGCTGGGGTGAGCTGTGTGTGCACACGGAGGTGCTGGGCTGTGGCGGGCGGGTGGGTGCTGTCCCTGCTTTCACAGCTGTGCCTGTCCCTCCCACACCTTCCCGCAGAGTATGCCGGGTCAATCATGGCCAGCTGCCCTGCCCCCGGCCTCTTGAGCTGTGTATTCAGCCCTGGGGTCCACTTCTGCATCCTGCACCTTGGGTGGTGGCCAGCGGTGACTCAGGGAGTCAGTCTCCTGCCATCTCCGTGGGCTCCTGGCTTTGGTCTGGGCCATTGCTGATGTCAGGGCAGTGGACAGTGAAAGGGAGGTTTCTGTCTCTGATTTGGAGTAAGACATGCACACAAGCAGGTGACCTTGACATGAATGTGTAAGTGATCTTAAGGAGGGCAGCGCCTGGTCAGTGTGAAGGTCAAGGCTTGCTGTCCCTTCGCATGTCGGCGGCCCTGGTCATGGTCCCCCACCCCCTGCAGTGACACCTTCTGTCCCATGCTTTTGCAGGGCTCCCTGCGCTGGTCGTGGCCATTTCTGTGGGGTTCACCAAGGCCAAGGGGTACAGCACCGTGAGCTAGTGAGTCGTTGGGGGAGGGAGCTTGTGTCACCCTGGGCGGGACTGAGCGGGAACTCTGGGCCCAGCAGATGCATGCCCACAGGGAGCCCTCGGGCAGGCCCATTTCGCAGATGAACTCCCTGAGGCCAAGAAAGATCAGGAAGGCTGGGTCCTGGGGGATCTGGGTGGGGCAGGTGGAGGCAAGGGTCCTGGCAGGAACCGAACGTGGGGATCGAGCACCCAGCAGTGGGGGCGAGCGCTCAGGGCAGATGCAAGAGCAGCCTCCCAGAAGAGGGAGGAGGCGAGGACTGTGCAAGGTGCTCCCGGGGACAGAGTGAGCACGGGGAGGGGTCCCCTGCCAGGCCAGGAGCTCCTGGGGTGCCCTAGCAGCAGCAGGCAGGGCCTCTGCGAGCAATGCTGACCCCATGTCCTCCGCAGCTGCTGGCTGTCCCTGGAGGGAGGACTGCTCTACGCCTTCGTGGGACCGGCCGCAGCCGTGGTGCTGGTACCAACCTTCCCACATTGGGGTGTCCCAGCTATGCCCTCAGGGCTGCCTGCCACAAGGTGGGGGCGGGCAGGCTCTGCAGTCCCTTGCTGACCTTCCTGTCAGTTTGGAGGGAACAACAGCTTGACAGCAACCCCAGGACATCAGCGGGCACGGCTGCTGCACCTGCCAGGAAACCTGCAGACTGGGGGACCACTATGGGGGTGCACGGGTGGCTGACAGTCGAAGCGCACTGCGAGTCCTCCGCACAGCAGAGCTCAGGGACCCACAGGGACCTTCCTACCTGCTCCTGGGCTGAGCTTCGCAGCACGTCCCCTGGGCACGTGCAGGCAGGGCTCTTCCCTCAGCGCCTGTCCGCAGGGCTGCACCCCCGTTGGTTTGGGTCCTGGCGGAGTGTCACCAGGCAGCAAGATGCTCAGGGCCCCATCCCTAGATTAGTGGGGCACCACAGTGGCACACCTGGAAGCAGCCAGTGGGGGCCACCCTCTCTGGCAGGGCAGGGCTTGCTGGGAGCACCTGGGACTGGGGAGGAAGCGTGGAAGTGAGGAGCCCCAACTCACTGGCCCCTCACCCAGTGCCTGTGGTGGGAGGTGAGCGCTGTCCTCTCCGCTCTTGCTTTCCTGCAGTAGCCACTGCAGAAGCACTCCCGGGGGGCTCCCCCACCTCAGTCAGGCCTCAGAGGGGGTGGTGTCTGTTCCAGAACATTCTCTTTGGGAAGCCCAGGGCTGTGGAGCCGTCAGCTGCCTCTCTGTACCCCCAGCCTTGAGCTGCAGAGGGGTACCTGAGGCCAGCTGGGGCTGGGGACAGGAACTGGAACTCCCCACCCGGCAGACAGGGCACCCCCAGGGTGGGGGTCCTGTGCTGGCTGCTGTGGCTGGGCTACGGAGGGAATTAGGCAGTGCAATGCAAGCAGCTTGCCTGCTAGGGTGAGCCGTGCAGGCGGACCCCAGGCAGAGCCGGGACACGTTGGTAGGGCTGTTCTTGCCTACCACGAGGTGGGAGATGGAAGGAGCAGGGATGGTGAGGGGCGGGACAGGGGGCGTGTAGTCAGTGGGGCTCAGCTGTAGTCTGGCCTGCCCAGGTGTGGGGCCCGGGAGGTTGAGGGGCCGTTGGGTGGGCCCCACAGCCGCCTGTCTACCCGGCAGGTCAACATGGTGATTGGGATCCTGGTGTTCAACAAGCTTGTGTCCAAAGATGGCATCACCGACAAGAAGCTGAAAGAGCGGGCAGGGTAGGGCCTGGTGCCGCTGCGGCTCCTCCCCGTCCCGGCTCCCAGGGTGCCCCTGCCTAGCCCAGCACACTCTCAGGAGTCATGGGACCGGATGCTCTGGGAGACGCTGCTTCTGCTGGCTCCCCAGGGAGGTGGGAGGGGATGTGGGGCCAAGAGGCACGGTCTGCCCCTCCCCACTGGAGTCTTGCCATGTGACCCCATCTATGTGGGTCCCGGAGTGACCCCTGTCCTGGGACATTTGTGGTGGGAAGGGAGCTGGCAAGGTGTGGGGCCCACAAGGATGGGTGCTGGGGTGGGGGCTGACCCTGGTGCTCCGAGCATGCCTGCCTCACCTTCCCCCTGCCCGCTGCTCCATCTGTGTCCCGCGTGGGCCCCGCCCCCTCCCCTCTGTGCCAGTCTTGCTTGGTCATGGTCCCTGCCTTTCTGTCTGTCACTGTCTCTCTCTCGGCCCAGCACTTCCTGCTCTGCCAGGGCACCAGCTGGCCTGGCCGGGGCATCCTTATGTGGGGTCATGAGCCTGGTGCAATCTGTGGAGTGGGGAGCCCCTCCCAGGAGCCCCGCCTCTAGCAGGTGATCTAGCACACGGGATCACGCATCCACCGCAGTCCCGCCTGTGCCAGTGAGGCAGGGTCCATCTCTAGATTCCCCAAGGTCTAGGAAGTGGGTTGCTGGGACTGGGGCTCCCCAGTGCACCCATGGGTGCGCGGGCACAGGCACAGTGCACATGGTATAAACAGGAGTGAACACACAGCATGCAGGGTGCATGAACAGTGCCAGGGTACTGAGCACATGAGGGCACACAGAACACAAACATGGGTGGGGCAGACAGACACAGCACACAAGTGTATGTGGACACCGCAGGCGGGGGCACCCCATGTGCACCCAGGTATACGTGGGCGTCGACTCACAGGGTCAGTGGCATATGGTATAAAGCTGGGTGCGCACACACACACACATCTATTGCTGGGTGGCCACTGGCCAGTCCTGCCCCCACACAGGAGGGCTCATTTGGCCCACTTCCTTGCTGGTGCCCAGTGCCATGCCTGACCGGCAGGCTGAGCAGATCCCAGGGCAAGGAGTGTGCACTTGGCCGTTTCCAGAGCTGGGACCGTGAACATGGACATACTGACCTGGCACTGTCTGCCACCTCTGTGCCACCCCCTGATATCTGGCCTGGCTCCTGTAGGTGCAGGTGTGTGCTGGGCTTTGCCCCCCAGGCTCTGCTTCTGTTTCAGGATTTGAACTTCACTTGCAGTCAGCTCCTCGGGTGCAGAGTCCTCCCCGCCACCTCCAACACCGCCAGTAACGCCATGTTAGTTCCCTGCCGCCATGGCCGGCTCCGTGGCCCCCCACTATCTCGCATTCTGCCTCTTCTTGATTTCCCCTCTCATCTCTTCCATGTCTGCCTCTGCCCAGTGCCGCCCCAGGCACCTGCCCTGCCCCAGGAGGGGGCCCTGGGCAGCGCGTGGGGAGTGGGACAGGGGCTGTGGCTCTGCTTCTGGACACTTCTGAATGGTTCTGGAGTCTTCCTCAGCTCCACCTCGAGCTGCGGGGGTTGGCCCAGGGGCCAGGGAGGGGTGAGGTCGGGTGGGGCCTGCTGGCCCCAGGGAAGGTGTGGCTTCCCTGTGTCTACACCTGACTGCATGGGTGTGGGTGTGACCACAGCTATGAACATGTGTGTCTGAGTGTACATGTGATGTGTGTGAGTGTATGAAAGGATAGCATGTGTGTGGTTCATGCCTGCAGGTGGTCACATTGATGAACATGTGTCTGCATCTGTGAGTGAGCACAGGTGAGCGTGTGTGTGTGTGACTGAATGGGTGAGCCTGTGTGTGTGACTGCACAGCTGAGACTGTGTGTGTGACTGAACATGTGAGCCTGTGTGTGTGTGTGTGACTGCACGGCTGAGCCTGTGTGTGTGTATGTGTGTCTGCATGGCTGAGCCTGTGTGTGTGTGTGTGTGTATGTGTGTGTGTGTCTGCATGGCTGAGCCTGTGTGTGTGTGTGTGTGTGTGTATGTGTGTCTGCATGGCTGAGCCTGTGTGTGTGTGTGTGTGTGTGTGTATGTGTGTGTGTGTGTCTGCATGGCTGAGCCTGTGTGTGTGTATGTGTGTGTGTGTCTGCATGGCTGAGCCTCTGTGTGTGTGTGTGACTGCACGGCTGAGCCTGTGTGTGTGTGTGTGTGTGTGTGTGTATGTGTGTCTGCATGGCTGAGCCTGTGTGTGTGTATGTGTGTGTGTGTGTGTGTGTGTGTGTGACTGCACGGCTGAGCCTGTGTGTGTGTATGTGTGTGTGTGTGTGTGTGTGTGTGTGTGAGTGTGACTGCACGGCTGAGCCTGTGTGTGTGTATGTGTGTGTATGTGTGTGTGTGTGAGTGTGTCTGCACGGCTGAGCCTGTGTGTGTGTGTGTGTGTGTGTGTGTGTGTGTGTGTGTGTGTGTGTGTGTGACTGCACGGCTGAGCCTGTGTGTGTGTGTGTGACTGCATGGCTGAGCCTGTGTGTGTGTGTGTGTGTGTGTGTGTGTGTGTGTGTGTGTGTGTCTGTGTGTGCAGATCATGTGGCAGCCACAGCATGGGGCTGTAGCAGCCAGGCTGGCGAGGTCGGCAGGGAGTTTGCTCACTCTAGGTGCCTTCTGCTGTGGGCAGTGCTGGGCGCTGTGAACTTGGGCATTGGGGCATCCTAGCCCTGCTCTGTGCAGAGCAGTGACTGTTCCTTGAACAGAAGGCTTTGGGGAAGCTGGCCACTAGGGGCCTCAGGAGAGAGGACAGCCTGCCTGGGCACCTGCAAGGGTGGGCGGGGCTTCCGCTGTGTCCCTGGGCTCCTGGGCTGGGCATCCTCAAGCTGCCACCACTGGCAGCCACAGAAGGCCAGGTTCTCCGTCTGGACCTACTTAGCCCAGCTCCCGGGGATGGCGGCTGCCATAGGAGCTACAGGATGGTCGCCCGGGGCAGGCAGGGATCCGGGTCTCACTCAGAGTGCCTTCCTTGGGAAAGCGGGGGACCATGCAGACCCTCTGCCTTGGCCGAAGACGGAGGTCCCGACTGGGAAGGGTGATGCTTGGAGGGGTGGTCTGCAGGTAGGCAGACCTCATAGCCGTTAGGGGAAGGGACTGTGGGCCCCATCCCAGGAGCCTGTGCCGGGCCTGGAGGAACTCTGCTTGAACTAAGCGACAGGCAGAGGAGAGGCAGTGGGGCTTGGGGGGGCGGGGAGCGAGTGGAAGGGTCAGCTGGTGGAAACCAAGGGTGGACAGCTCCCACTGGACTTTGTTGCTGCAGAAGCAGACCTGGGAGGGCACTTTGGGGGCAATGGGTGTGGTGTGGGTGGTGCCAAGGACAGAGGCAGAGTAGCTGCCCGGGACCTAACCTCAAGGTGACAGGGAAGAGCGGTGCCCAGATGCCAGCTATGTGTCAGGCACCTGCCGGTGCTGCCTCGTGCATACCAGTGGCAGTCGGAGGACTTCCTGGAGGAGAGAGTGGGACTGAGGGCGGACACAGCCCCAGAGCAAGAAACACCTGTCGTCGGTCTCTGTCCCTGCCCGTCTGTCTGCCCTCGCCTGTCTGTCCTGTCACCCCTTGCGGTTCCCTCCCCACCTCCCTGTGGCCATGTTGCCCTGTGCTGGGGGCGAGGGCCTCGTGGCCTCGCCAGCTCCCAGGACACGCTCAGGAGAGCCAGGAGACCAGCGTGGGCGGGGCAGCCCGGCCTGAGGGCAGGCCCGGCTGACGCGCTCCGTCCCCAGGGCCTCCCTCTGGAGCTCCTGCGTGGTGCTGCCGCTGCTGGCGCTGACCTGGATGTCGGCCGTGCTCGCCGTCACCGACCGCCGCTCCGCCCTCTTCCAGATCCTCTTTGCCGTCTTCGATTCCCTCGAGGGGTTCGTCATCGTCATGGTTCACTGCATCTTGCGGAGAGAGGTGCGTGGGCCTGCACCCTCCCAGCTCCTCAGCCCAACTTGTACCCCGTGGTCCTGGGACGGCCTGGGCACATGTTGGCACCGGCTGACGGCCATGGGCGGCACTTGGGGATGCTGTGCCAGCCAGAGCTGCTCAGGAGATGTGGGGAGGCTGCAGCATCACACGCATTGCTGCAGGAAGCCCCACGTGGGTGCCAGCCAGTCCCACAGGCATCGCTGGGCAGGAGGCCCCCAAGGATCCGCTGAGCGAGCTCCAGGCCAGACACGGGGCATGGGACAGGGGATGCAGGCCACCTCCGTGCCTACCCTGGTCCTGGTCAGAGAGCCAGGGTGCCCTCCCACCCTGTGACCCAATAGAAAGAACCTGTAGGCTTCTCTGGTGCCAGTGGCTCGGTGGCTGCCCACGGTGCTCTCTGTGCCTCAGATCAGCCGACTGGTGGCAGGGAAGAAGGGCCATGAGAGTGAGGGACTGGGGCACACAGGTGCCACCTGGCCACAGCTGTACAGGGCACCGCTGGGAAGCCCTCTGTGCTTGGTGCCCTTGTCCTCGAGCCTTGGCTCTGCCCACTGCCACCCCAGGGCCATCCCACAGCCTCGGCTTTGCCCATGGTGGCTACTCTGGGGCGCAGGGGGCAGCTGTGGCAGGGTCGGCCCTTGCTCTGGGTGCCCCTCATGACCGCTGCTCTCCCCAGGTCCAGGACGCCGTCAAGTGCCGTGTGGTGGACCGCCAGGAAGAGGGCAACGGGGACTCAGGGGGCTCCTTCCAGAACGGCCACGCGCAGCTCATGGTAGGACTGGGGGCTGCCCCACACTCTGGCCTCCGTGCTGCACCCCAGGTGCAGCTGGGGGAACTGAGGCTGGCCCAGGTCGTGGGCTCTGGCGCCCCTCGGGCCATGCCTAGCCACCCTCAGCCTCAGCCCAGGAGGCTTACCCAGTCCCGCCCTGTCCTACCTGGCTCACCTGGCCCCTGCACGCCTCCTGCCCCTCACCTGGGCCCCAGTGCTGGAGCTCCGCCCAGGAGCGGGCAGTGCCTGTCTTGCCTGATGCTGGGCCCACCCTGCCGGTTCCCAGCCTCCTTCCCTGGCAGCTAACCCATACTCTCCCCCTTGAACTCGGATCCTGACCAGGCCCTCCGCCTGTGTGCTAGATGGTCTGTTCCTCCCCAGGCCCAGGCCCTGTGCAACTGCCTGCCCCTGCCAGCCACCAGCCCCTGGGCCTCCAGTTAGACCATCATGGGGCATCTGCTGCCCCTGTGTTAGGGGCTGGGCAGGGCCTTGGCCTCCAACCCCAGGGCCTTGGTGAGCACCTGCAGTGGACATCTGTTTCATGTCAGTGTCTCCCTGTGCAAGTGAGCAGGGGCAGGGCCTTGGGTGCAGCTTCCCGTCCTCCAGGTCTCCTCCTGGCTCCACCCGCAGCCTGCGGGACGGCAGAGGGGGCCGGGTGCTGCCGGTGGGGGCTCACACACGCACACAGGCCCTCCCACTCAGGCAGCCCACGTACAGGTGTGCACACATACACGGAGGTACAAAGACATGCATGGATGGACACTGACACGCTGTACTGATAACGCCTATACACACCCACAGGCGTGGCACGCGTCCACAGTCACGCCCCCACACGTACTCCACGTGAACGCTTTGCACACTCACACGCATGCTTGCATCTCACTCGCACATACATGCTCACACGCCAACACACGTCCACCAACACAGGCACTCAGACACAGTGATATGCAAGCATGCACACACAGGCACTCACGCGCCAACAGCCATACACAAATCCCAGAACCTTGAAACGTGTCCACAAGCAAATGCACACTTACATTCATGCCGTGAATATGTCACACGTGCAGACAGGCCAGGGCACATGGCATGTGCCATGGACAGGCTGCCCCACCCTCATTGCGCCCGTGCACATGTTGCCCCAGCCACGGCTGCCCTGCCCTACCACGCCCGTGCACACGCTGCCCCAGCCACGGCTGCCCTGCCTCACCACGCCCGTGCACACGCTGCCCCAGCCACGGCTGCCCCACCCTCACCACGCCCGTGCACACGCTGCCCCAGCCACGGCTGCCCTGCCTCACCACGCCCTCTGCCTGTCTTGCAGACGGACTTCGAGAAGGATGTGGATCTGGCCTGTAGATCAGGTGAGCGCCCGACAGGTGAGAGTGACAGGGGGCCCGGGCCTGCCCTCCTGCTTCTTTCTCTTTCCCAGCGGCCGCGCTGTGTGCACTTGTGTCCTTGTCCCATCCCGCCTCGTAGCCCACCCACCACACCTGCCTCCCATGCACAGAGGAAACTTCTGGAACCCCTCCTTGGAGCCTGTGCCCAGCAGCAGCCCTGCTGGCCCAGCCATCCCTCACGGTCAGGGTCCTTGGGGCTCCCCAGCCCTCCCCGACTTCACTCCTGTGGTGGGGCTGCGAGGCTCTCATACGCTCACCCCTGCATGCCCCATCGTGTGTCGTGTTCGTGTCATTGTCATGGGGGTGAGGAGGGAGGGCCGGGAAGGGGACCTGCCTGGCAGCAAGTACGAAAAAGGACTCCACTGCTCAATGGGAAGAGCCACACTGTATGCTGCTGTTGCGGAGGGCTGGGAGTGCCCCGGTGTAGGCCCCTGCAGACCTCAGGGCTTCCTAGAGGAGTGACTGTGGGGTCGGGTGTGTGTGAGACAGAGCGTGCACAAGTGCCCCCAGACAGGGGTGCATGGCCCGCAGCGGAGGGGAGACCAGGCTGGGGAGGGACGTGATGGGGTGGGGGTATGTAAGGCCGGGGCCAGCCCAGGTGCTGGGCAACTGCCCTGCTTGTACGGAGCATGGTGTGTGGCCCCCTGTGCTGGGGTGGCAGGACTCTGGCATGGCAACATGTGTGTCCTGAGGTGGCTGTGACCCCTGGGTGTTGGGGGAAGATGGAACCTGACAAGGGTGGGGCCAGAGGCTGTGGAGGCTTTGGGGTCGGGCCGAGGGGACAGCCTGTATCCAGTGGGGGCTAGGCAGGTTGGCAGGAGGGAGGATGGGAGGTGGTCCTCAGGCAGAGCCCGGTGGAGGAGCCCAGGGCACCTCAGGCTGGGCTGTGTGCCTGCCATGCCCAGCTGCATCCAGCCCTTGAGGCGGCCAGGGGCTGCCCTGCATGGACCAGGGCTCTCCGGGTGCCTGCCGCAGCAGCACCTGGGGAGGCGGGGTGGGGCGCGGTCCACCCAGCAGTCTCTGATTGCGCCCGCCGCCCCCCGGCCCCACAGTGCTAAAGAAGGACATTGCCGCCTGCCGCACGGCCACCATCACGGGGACGCTCAAGCGGCCGTCACTGCCCGAGGAGGAGAAGCTGAAGCTGGCCCACGCCAAGGGGCCGCCCCCCAACTTCAACAGCCTGCCGGCCAACACCTCCAAGCTGCAGCTGCACGGCTCGCCCCACTACCCCAGCGGGCCGCTGCCCGACTTCCCCAGCCACTCGCTGACGCTCAAGAAGAGCAAGGCGCCCAAGTCCTCCTTTGCGGGGGACGGCGACATCTTCAAGAAGCTGGACTCGGAGCTGAGCCGGGCCCAGGAGAAGGCCCTGGACACCAGCTATGTGATCCTGCCCACGGCCACGGCCACCCTCAGGCCCAAGCCCAAGGAGGAGCCCAAATACAGCGTCACCATCGATCAGATGCCCCAGACGCGACTCATCCACCTTAGCATGGCGCCGGACAGCGGCTTCCCCACGCGCAGCCCGCCCGCGCGCGAGCCCCCGGAGGCGCCCCCCGCCCAGCCCCCGCCCCCGCCGCCCCCACCGCCCCCGCCGCCCCAGCAACCCCTGCCCCCACCGCCCGCCCTGGAGCCGGCACCCCCCAGCCTGGGGGAGCCGGGGGAGCCCGGGGCGGGCTCTGGGGCCAAGAGCGAAAACGTGGCCACCCTGTCCGCGAGCTCCCTGGAGGTGAGCGTGCCTGGGGCAGCGGCCCGGCGGGCTGGACTCCCCCGGGGCCTGCAGAGGGGCACTGGGGGGTGGTGTGGGGCGGGGGTCGCGCGCGTGGGGATGCAACCCTGCGACTCAGGCTGGGGAGCAGGTGAGCAAGGGGCAGGGCCTGGGCCTCGTGGCCCCAGCAGCCCGCGTTCTGCCCAGCCCCCTCTCCAAGGCCCAGCCTGGATCCGGAAGGGTGCGGGCAGGGGGTCCCGGGTCTCCCCAGCTCCCGCGCCACGGGACCCACCGCCCGCCACCCTCCTCCCCACAGCGGCGGAAATCGCGGTATGCAGAGCTGGACTTTGAGGTGGGTCCCGCAGCGCCTCCCCCGCCCCCGGCCCGGGGAGCAGGGCCAGCCCCCCACTCCCCGCTCAGGCCCACTGCCTCCCCTCCCCTAGAAAGTCATGCACACTCGGAAGCGACACCAGGACATGTTCCAGGACTTGAACCGGAAGCTGCAGCACACGGTCGAGAAGGAGAAGGAGGCGCTGGGCGCGGACGGCAAGGTCGGGGCGCGGGGAGGGGCCCCGGGCCGGGTGGCCCCCCGCACCTCCGCCGTCCCGCGGCCCGCCAGGCCCGGAGGGGGCGGGCGAGGGAGGCCGGGCGGCCCCGGCGGGGGCGTGCAGGCTGGCCCCGGCCCCCTTGATTCGCGTCCTCTTCCCGCCGGCCCCTCGGCCCAGCAGCCGGAGAAGCAGCAGACGCCCAACAAGCGGCCGTGGGAGAGCCTGCGGAAGGCCCACGGCGCGCCGGCCTGGGGCAAGGAGCTGGAGCCGCTGCCGCCGCCGGCGCCGCTGGAGCTGCGCAGCGTCGAGTGGGAGAAGGCGGGCGCCACCATCCCGCTCGTGGGCCAGGACATCATCGACCTCCAGACGGAGGTGTGAGCCGCACGCACGCGGGTGCGGGCCGGCGGGAAGGCCGCCACTGGCGCCGGCGGGGTGGCGGGCCGGGCCCCGCGCGCACCCCACGCACCCCGCCTGCGGGCCACCCCACCGGGCGCACCCCGCCACCGGCGCACCTCGCCACCGGCGCACCCCGCCTGCGGGCCACCCCACCGGGCGCACCCCGCCACCGGCGCACCTCGCCTCCGCGCCCGCGGCCAGGCCGAGGCCCGGGGCTGGCGCCAGAGCCAGACGACGGACAGGAGGCGGCCACGGGGCTGCCCGCGCGTCCAGCCCCCGGCGGGCGGCCGCAGGGCCAGCGCACAGCCCGGACGCCGCGGCCCGCTGGCCTGGCCCCGTTTTTTAGCGACACCCCTAACCCCCGGGAAAGCAGCCAGCTCCCCCACTCCCTTCCAGGGCCCCCGGGCCCCCCAGACCAAGGTGGAGAGCCCGGGCAGGACTAAGCCCACTCCGGGAAGAAGCCGCGTGGGGAATCTATTTTTTCTCTCCTTTTCTTTTCTTCAATAAAAAGAATTAAAAACCCAGGGCTGTGTTGATCCTGACCGTGCAGGAAGTCTGTGGGCCAGCAGGGGGCGCCCCATCCTCAGCCCACGATCTGAGGAGCCTGGTGTCCTGCTGCCCCACGTGTGGCAGGGCCGACTCAGCCCCATGAGGCAGTGGAGACTGTGGGGACCCAGCTTTGAGGGGGATATCTGTGAGGATTAGGGCTGTCCGTGAAGAGGAGGATGGAGTGAGGGTTGGGGAGTGGCTGTGAAGGTGGGTGTATGACACAGACCCCCACCCCCAAGACGTGGCCTCTCCACAAAGCAGCAAGCCCACAGGCAGCAAGCCCACTCTTCAGCCCCTTCTGAGGTCCCAAGTGCCCCCAGGCACTGGGGGCCAGGAGAGGGTCCCTGGCCACCATGTGTAGGAGTGAGGGCTCAGGGCTCAGTAGAGGCCCGCACAGCTGGGTCCTCACCATCCCAGGCTTGAAGCAGCATCTGCCCTGTTTAGATCCAAGGTGAAGCTGAGACACCCCCCCCCCCCGCTCCTCTACCAACCTTCCCCTTGCCATCACACGCAACACCTGGGCTGAGTGAGGCCCGTCTGTGATTGGCTTGAATCTAGTGAGGTGAGGGGTGAGGTGGTGGTGAGTCTGCATAGAGCTGGAAACATGGATGGTGATGATGGTGGTGATGGTGATGGTGGTGATGATGGTTCTGGTAGTCATGATGATGTTGGTGCTGATATGGTGTTTGGTGGTGATGTTGGTGATGGTTAGGGCCCTGTCTCTCTGGGCTTGTTAATTACTATCTTGCTCAGTGACCAGTAGGTGGCGCTAGGACCCAAAGTGATGGCAGGGATGGAGGGCATCATGGGCCCGGCACTGGCAAGTGGCCAGCACTCAAATACGGTTTGTGATCATGCCAAGGCCCCCAGCCGCCACCTTGCACATGCGACCTGGAGGCCCTGACCCAGCTAGACTGGCCATGTTCACCTTAGTGCAGAGGGTGCCCCTGTGAGCATGTGGCTTGGCCACGGTCTGATAGCTTCCACAAGCTCCCTGCTGTGTCCCTGACTCTCAGGGACCCTGATACCTGCAGGCCTGGACAGGGCTGGGGCTGCCCATCCCCCAGCTGTGACAGGAGGCCAAGTCAACCTCCCCGGGAACTGCCATGAGCAACTGACCCCCACAGCACACAGCAGGGGCCAAGGGTTTACAGCTTCAAATGGGGTGACCACTGTGCAGGCAAGGAAGTGGTTCCCTGCCTCTCCTCCTCTCCTGCCTGCAGTACCCCAGTACCCAAGTTACAGGAAAATACATGACCGGTGTGAGCAGGGCAGTGGGTGTGAGCAGGGCAGTGGGTGTGAGCAGGACAGTGGGTATGAGCAGGGCAGCGGGTGCGAGCAGGGCAGCGGGTGTGAACAGGGTAGTGGGTGTGAGCAGGGCAGTGAGTGTGAGCAGGGCAGTGGGTGTGAGCAGGGCAGTGGGTGTGAGCAGGGCAGTGAGTGTGAGCAGGGCACCTCCTGTGCAGTGGCCTCTCCTGCATGCATCCTGCTCGCTGGGCTGGAAACGAGGCAGAGCAGAAAGAGTCCTGCCCAGGGCTGCGGTGACGTGTTGTCTGTGCTGATGCTGACCGTGCCCTTGTCCCTCACACAGTGGGGTCACTCTTCCTGCCTTCCACTCCTTCCTTGTGGCCCCAGAACCAGCCAGGTCACCACAGTGATATTCCTTGTGCCCCTCAATCTTCTTGCACTGCCAATATGAGGACAACCCTACACCCGCAGCATGTTGCAGGAGAAACTGAGACCCCTCCTCTGCCAACCTTCCCCTTGCCATCTCACACGACACCTGGGCTGAGTGAGGCCCGTCTGTGATTGGCTTGAATCTAGTGAGGGTGAGGTGGTGGTGAGTCTGCATAGAGCTGGAAACATGGATGATGATAGTGATGGTGATGATGGTGGTAATGGTGATGATGATGGTGATGGTGGTGATGGTGATGGTGATGGTGGTGATGGTGATGGTGATGATAGTGATGGTGATGGTGGTGATGATGGTGATGGTGGTGATGGTGGTGATGGTGATGGTGGTGATGGTGGTGATGGTGGTGATGGTGATGGTGGTGATGATGGTGATGGTGGTGATGGTGATGATAGTGATGATGGTGGTGATGATGGTGATGGTAGTGATGGTGATGGTGGTGATGATGGTGATGGTGGTGATGGTGATGATGGTGATGATGGTGATGGTGATGATAGTGATGGTGGTGATGGTGGTGATGGTGATGATGGTGATGGTGGTGATGGTGGTGATGGTGATGGTGGTGATGGTGGTGATGATGGTGATGGTGATGATGGTGATGGTGGTGATGGTGATGGTGGTGATGATGGTGATGGTGGTGATGGTGATGGTGGTGATGATGGTGATGGTGATGGTGATGATGGTGATGGTGATGGTGGTGATGGTGGTGATGATGATGAAGGTGATGGTGATGATGGTGATGGTGGTGATGGTGATGATGGTGATGGTGGTGATGGTGATGATGGTGATGGTGGTGATGGTGATGATGGTGATGGTGGTGATGGTGGTGATGGTGATGGTGATGGTGGTGATGATGATGGTGATGATGATGGTGATGGTGGTGATGGTGGTGATGGTGATGGTGATGGTGGTGATGGTGGTGATGATGGTGATGGTGATGGTGATGATGGTGATGGTGGTGATGGTGGTGGTGGTGATGATGGTGATGGTGGTGATGGTGATGATGGTGATGGTGGTGATGGTGGTGATGGTGGTGATGGTGATGGTGATGGTGGTGATGATGATGGTGATGATGGTGATGGTGATGGTGGTGATGGTGGTGATGATAGTGATGGTGATGGTGGTGATGATGATGGTGATGGAGAGTGATTTAGGCCTTGCAATGCCCAAGGCCACTGTGGTCTTCTTTTCCAAAGGCAGTGCCGGTGACATGGGGCAGGGTCTTGCAGCTCAGGGTGACCTCACTGCTGCAGCTGCAGTGCCTGGCAGATGGGAGGAAGGAAGGATACCCCAACACAATGATGAGACTGAGTCACCAGGCGGAGCTGGCAGCAACCGAGCCTGACACCCACACCCACGCACTTTGGACCCGGAAGAAGTGCCCTCCTGACTTCCTCTGCCAGCACCTCAGGTCCCACACAGTAGGTGAAGGCCCAGGAAGGACCTCACCTGGCTCAGGGTTTTGGCACCTCCAGCAGTGCCCTGCAGTGGCCTCTTAATCTTCCTGCTGTCTGGAAGGTCTTCCTGCAGCCCTGCCCATCTGAGGGCAGAAGTGAGGGTTCCTGTTCTCCACTCAGCCCCTGCACCAAACTGACCACCCCTCACCATTGTCAGTGCCATTCATGGCCACCCTGCAAGGTTGCCCGCTGCCTCTGCCCTCTCCTGGCCTCTGTCCAGTGCCCTGCCCCACACACCCAGATCCCACTTCCCATGTACTGGCTCCAGAGCCTTCCAGTAGCCGGCAGTGCCCTCATCAGCAGTGCCCCACCCCGGGGCCAGCCCTCACAACCTCTTGTCTGGTGAGGACAGGCAGCTGGAGTCTCACCGGCCACCCCATCCTCGCCAGGTGCAGGGGTCGTGTGATGAGCTAGTTCGGTGTGAGCAGACTAACATGCAGTGAGTTGGGCCCTGGTCTGCACCGAGCAGTTTCATGGACTTGATGGAGTAGCATCCAGACTCTTAAGAGCATTGATGGGGGCTGGAACTTAGGCTGGCTGTACCCCACTCTATACCCCACACACTCCCTTGGTCCTGCAGGGCACCCCCACCTGCCACCTGTACCACAGAGACCTAGCTCTAGCCCCGGACCCCAGCAGGCAGCGAGGGACCCCCAGGAAGGTGAGACCTTCCTAGATCAGGGTCATTCACCCCAGAATAGTGCCTGTGCTGGCGTTGGTTGCCAGGGCCCTGCAGGCAGGGAGGGGCCCAGCCTGGCTCCTGCCAGGCCCTCAGAATAGGTGGCACAGAGGAGCTCGTGTGAGCCGTTGCCAGTTACTGCAGGGTGACAATGAACATGCGGCCCCGGCCCCCTCCACTCACTCGGCTCCAGGTTGGGGAGCCAGCACCAGGCCTGCCAGGGGGTAGTGGTGGCCTGCGTGAAGACCCCTATGGATGTTCCAATCTGAACTGGTGAACTGCATGGCCCCTTGGAGCAAGCACATGGTGCCCCGCCCCCGGCTGGCTCCACCCGCGCCCAGCCTCCCCATGGCCACAGCTGTCCCGGAAGGCAGAGGAGGTGTTGCTGGGTTCAATATGGCTCTTGGGAATGCCATATGGATGGGCCCAGGCGGCGGGGCGGGGGAGGAGCCGGAATTCCTGGTCCTTCCGGGCCAGAGCTGTGAGGCTCTGCAGCCAGGGGGAGGGGGCCCAGGGGTTCAGGCAACCCCCCACGCCACTCCTCTCTGCTTCCTCTGGCTTTATCAGCCCCCAGCCCCTGTGAGGTCCCGGCATCTGAGGGCCT